ATTATATTATTACTCCCTTCTCTGAGCAGCAAATACATCTTCTCTGGTCACCTTTCCATCATTTATTCCTCTTCGACACTGGGCAGGCTCTGCTAGGAGTCTGCTTGCTCAATCTGTCCGCTGATCCCCGCTGATCCCCGTTGAGCAGGCAGGTGGCTGGTCTGTGTCTGATCCGCTTATGCAGAGCGGACACAGACACAGCCAATCTCCTCTGCTGGCAGTCGGATGTAAATGGACCGCCTGTCCGTTTGCACTTAACTGCCATCCGATCTGATCCACTAGATGGAAGGGGATTCCCATCTGTCTGTTTTTAGATTGAATGTCTGCCGGGGGAAACTGACACATGTCCATTAACACCTGCCGCTTCTTAGAGTAGAATGGAGGGTCTGATCAGGTCCGTCTAAAAAACTGACAGGCAAACCCGATAAGTCTGCTCGCTTGAAAGGGGCCTTGTCTAGATGGAACTTTTTAATAGACAAAATTTGCACTGCAATGTTCTTTATTTTTTCATTTAACATTTGAGAAAATGGGATACATTCCAAAAATAAGGTACAAAAACAATAATATACAGTCTTTACATTGTGGTTGTGGTAATACAATTTGGGGAAGACAATGCTCATAAGATTGTTGAAAATAAGAACATACACCGCAGTATTTGTGATGTCCAAACCAATGAGTTGCACGTGGCCTCCATATGTCACCAATGCTGATGAAATGTTTGTCATATTAAGCATAGTGTAAAAGTGGGGAGAGGTAGGAAATAAGAAAGCAAGGTGTCTCAGGCAGGGGAAAATGGGACAACAAAAAAAAAATGGCAGGGTGGGAGATGTAGGGGTAATGAGTAGGAGGAGGAACGGGAACCTGCATGACAGTTTTAACCTTCCTGGCAGTAATCCCGAATGTGACTCGGGGTTAATTTACAGTACCAAAAGCGGTAACCCTGAGCCACACTCGGGATTATACTGCAGTGCTTGTCCTGCAATCCCCCGATCCTTACCTTGTCCTGCGATCCCCCGATGTCCTCCTGCTGTGTCCTCCGGCCATGTCCTCCGGCCGATGCCGGCAAACGTCTTCCGGGTTCCGTTCCCTGCGAGCGTTGGGACGCAAGGGGGTGGAACTGGTGGGAAATTGAATAAAGTAAAAATATGACATACACGCAATACATTGTAATCTGTTAGGATTACATTACTGTATCAAACCATTTGTCCCGAGTGCTTTGTCCTGTGCCCTGTCTGCACTTTTACTGTTCTTTCTGCCTGGAAACTTGAGAATGTCCATGGCATCCAAAAAACATCCCTTTAGGTCAAAAGCGGTTTTAGACCAGGTAGAAAACAGCGATAGTGAATTAGAACTACTTGCAGAATTAAGCAATAGTGATTCGTGGGGAAATCCGTCATCAGACACTGAAAGTGATGACAGTGACTATTCTGCGACTGAGCTCAGTGATGTGCGAACTTGGTGCTCTATTTGAAATTTCAGTATTTTTGGTTTGATTATTGAATTAAATTTATTATTATTATATTATTATTTTTTATAATTATTTATTATATTATAATTTATGATTTCGTGTTTCAAATTTTATCATACCCGGGATGTTTACTAGACTCTTGTTCAGACAGATTTAAGTGAGTTATTCCTCAGAATTACAGGCCTTCAATAAAAAATAAAAAATTTCCATGCAAAACAATGTATTGCTTTGACATTCAAAAATATTCATTAGTTAGACCGCCAGGGAGGTTAATAGACTTCCAGGCAAATACACAACTATGTTTATAAATAACAAACTCTGCAGAACTAATAGGAAGCTCCATGTAGCTTTATGAACAGGCAGGTGTAAAGAGCTTGTGACCATTCACATCCACCAACCTCTGAGTTTGTCCAGGTCCAGAAAAGCTAAGGACTTTTTCCAGTTTTCCAGACCTAAACGTGATGGATTAAATGTAGCCTGATATAAACAGACACAATTCCATCTACATCCAGCTACCTATAGAGCCATCAAAGTTCTACCACAGTGCGCTATCAAAATGTGGACACAAACTGAATGAGCACCACACGTGTCCCAAAAGTGACATCCATACCGCTCAACTCTTGTTCAGCAGGGAATTAGTTCACAAATCCCCTGCTGAACCGAGAGCAGTGCCCTATGTGAAAGGACCCTAAGGACTTGTTCATCCTATAAGGTGACCCGCATTTTTCCATACTGGATAAATTCGGGTCACCATAGGCACATAGAAAACAATTGTTTCCAATGTGCCCCGTTCACACCATAATGCCGGTGTGATATGAGGTGCGTTGAAGTGCGGAAAAGCTCAGTCAATTAGAAATCTCTTTGTATTTATTAGCAGGGAATTAGTTCACAAATCCCCTGCTGAACCGAGATCAGCGCCCCATGTGAAAGGACCCTAAGGGCTTGTTCATCCTGTAAGGTGACCCGCATTTTTCGACACTGGATAAATGCAGGTCACCACTAGGCACATAGAAAACAATTGTTTCCAATGTGCCCCATTCACACCACAATGTCGGTGTGATATGAGGTGTGTTGAAGTGCGGAAAAGCTCAGTCAATTAGAAATCCCTTTGTATTTATTAGCAGCATAGTGGCTAAATGGTTAGCACTTCCACCTGGCAGTACTAGGGTTGTTGGTTTGAATCCCAGCCACGGCACCTCCTGCCTGTAGTTTGCATGTTCTCCCTGTGCCTGCATGGGTTTCCTCTGGGTACTCTGGTTTCCTCTGACACTCCAAAGACATTCTGGTAGGTGAATTGGACCATTCATTGGTCTAGGCTGGGCTAATGTAAGTATGTAAAAATATCCATACCTGGAATTCTTTAAAAGACCAAACAACAGCAAATTGAGCAAAGAGTAGTTAATTGGTAGTTAGCTTGGTTCACACTGCCGCAACTTAGGATCTGACTTGTGAGAGCTCAAGTCGCATGACATGTGAAATATCATGTTAGTCAATGAGAGTGATCTTAATTAGCACTACTGAAGTCTCTCTGACTTTAGAAAAGCTTCTATCCAACTTGTGCCCATAGACTTTAATGGAAGTCTCCTCCAAGTTGGATCCTCATCTATATTGATGTGATTTGGACATTACTGAAAGATTACCAAGGCATTTGCTGAAAGTTGCTTCAGGGTCGCTTCAAAGTGGTACTCAAGTTGCCTGGCAAAGTCGCACCGTAAGTCGTGCAACTTTCAGGTCACAGTAGTGTGAACCAAGACTAAAAGTTATGGCAAGGAGATTAGGAGTGTACTTTTTAATTAACTGTTTGTTCAGTTTATTTATAGATAAAAGGATAAGTTCACCTTTTTTTTTTGCAGGTAAAAAAATGTGCATTTACTATTGGACTGGAAAGCATTTCACAAGCGATGAGCAGATCGCTGGTGCTATGCAGAACTCCTGCAGCCTGTCAGTGTAGGCTGTCAGCCCATACATCGTATGGATAGACAGTTGCACACTGAGAGGAAGAATCAACTACCACAGTTCTCAATAGCGCCATTGTCGTTAATTGAGAACTACAAGCCAACATCTGCAAAGGATGTCAGTTCTCGCAGTTGATTCGTTCACAGAACTCTGTCCCATTCACAGAGCTCCACCCACACAGCCACATTCTTTTCAAAAAGTGACAGCTGGTACAGGGATCTTCTCCCCATACTGCTGTTACACAGAGGGCTCGGATCACTGAGCCGCTGCAGGAGCAGGAACATGTTACATGTTCCAGAAGGTGAACTTATCCTTTAAATCCAGTCATGAAAGCTTTCATTTATGAATATTTCGCAATAGGATATTGTACCACGTTGTGTATCCAAATGCCTTTTCAAAGCCAGATGTTACCTTGTAAAAGTAGAAGTGCCATCATCACTGTGCTGTACAAAGCCTGTACAGAGAGCAGAGCTGTGGGAGGGACTCAGCAGGCCCCACCCACTTCAGGCTTCCTGCAGAAAACTACAGGAGGGGGCGGAGACAAGACCAGTCACCCTGCACAAGGAGAGAAAACAGCAATGACTGTCTTTATTACAGGAGGCAAAATCTCACAAATCTGGAAGAAATACATGAATCACACCAAGATTCAAGGAAGAAAACACATGACTTGTATATAGACAATATGTGCTTATCCCTGAATTCAGCTGTACTGTATATCAATTGCACCGTATCAGAATTCAACTTTCATTGCCAGACAGTCCTCAGAAAAGCAATATACAGTCTCTGATGTGTTGCTTTTCTGTGCATATAACCATCACCCATATCAATGCACATAATTCAAGAGGCTGGATACTTCTACTAGATAAGTGGCCATCACAACTCTGTATTAGAAATATGTATATTTTGAAAGGTCATTTTGAGTTTCCTCGCATCGGCTGCACAGTGTGGAGCTGTGAATGGCACGGCTCTATAGAACGCATTTATTTTCAGAGTCTTTAAAAGCTTTTGTAGATAAAAGTCAGCCTGTACCGACTTGTTGACTGACGTGCTTATATAGCTTTTTTTTCCCTCTTTATATTAAACGTAATCCATTTCTTTAGCACCCTGCAGATGATTCTCATTACACTGGATGCTCCCTGCACTGAGAGGGTCAGGGATTGTAGTAAATAAGAAGCTCTCACTATCTTTGATATTGTCACATCTGCTTTTGTCAGACAAGCTATTGCAGGCTGGGACACAAGGATTGCTTACTAAGGAAAGAGCCACAGTTCCAGCATTGACCTAATGAGCTCTGTAGTGAGGTTTTGTCTGTGAGGATTTCCACACTATTAACTCATGTCAGATTTTCAATATTCAGAACTGCAGCCAACAATATATCAAAGCAGAACTAAGCTCTCTCAAGCAACATGAACTATTTTTCAACCGTATGCTGCTAGCATTAGTAAATAGTAAGTTATAGTATATTCATTTGTTTTATACTTTTTCTTTAGATTTCCTCAGTTGCTTCCTGGTTTCTGGCCTAGGCCAAAATGATGTCATGCATCCCAGGAGTCTTCAGGAGGGGCCTCCTGCTTACATGCCTGAGCTAAGGGCAGATGGATTCCAGGAAGTAAATTCTCCATTAATCATCTGCCCTTACTTAAAGTGTTACTAAACCCAGGACCCTGCATTCACTATATCTGGTCTCCCACAGTACACAGAACATGGAAATGCAATTATTTTAGTAAATATAAACTGCTAAATACCTTTTCTCATCAGCAGTTAGAGCAGTCTTGTGACTTCAGCAGAGCACTGGTTAAAGCTTGTAGGAGGAGTTTTCTTTCTGATCTAGGAGGATGTGAAACCTGTGACCCTGTCTGGACAGTGCTGATTGGCCCTGTGCTGATCACATGCGCTCTCCCAAGGAAAAAAAAAACCTCTAGCAATACACACCAAACTGAGCACGTGCATGTGACCAGGGATTCAGTCTGTATCAGGTGGATATTTCAACAACAGGAGGGGCAGAGAAGAAAGGATCAAACAGCCTGTTTACACGATGCAGAGGATTAACCTCTTAGGTTCCACAGTGAGTATAACAAGCATGCTCTACTGTATATACAGACTGATTTTACTGTTGTGGGTTTAGTGACACTTTAACCATTTCAATACCGGGCAATTTTACACCTTCCTGCCCAGGCCAGTTTTCACGTTTCAGCGCTCTCACACTTTGAATTACAATTGCGCGGTCATACAACATTGTACCCAAACTAAAATTTTATCATTTTCTTCACACAACTAGAGCTTTCTTTTGGTGGTATTTAATCACCACTGGGGTTTTTATTTTTTGCTAAATTAACAAAAAAAGACCAAAAATTTTGAAAAAAAAAAAACGTTTTTCTTTGTTTCTGTTATAAACGTTTACAAATAAATAATTGTTCTTCATAAATTTAGGCCGAGATGTATTCTGCTACATGTCTTTGGTGAAAATAACCCAAATTAGGATGTATTATTTAGTTTGTAGGAAAGTTATAGAGTTCACAAACTATGGTATAGATCTGAATATTGATCAATCCTGAAGTACTGACAGCCAATCTAATTTCTTGAGGTCCAAGAAAGTCAGAATAGTACAGATATCCCCAAATGACCCCTTTTTGCAGAGTAGACAGTCCGACGTACTTCATAAGAGGCATGGTGAAATTTTTTTTGTCATAATTTTTTGGAAAATTAAAAAATTAAAAAAATTATTTTCACTATTTTTTTTTTACATACTGTCACCAGTGCAGTACAGCGTCATCATGTAACTAGCATAGCGGTGAACAGGACACTGACTGGTGACAGTATGAAAGAAAAAAATATATATATTTTTTTTATTATTTTAAATTTTTTATTACTTTTTTTTTATTTTGTTTAAGATTTTTTTTCATATTTTACTATGACCAAAGTAGTACAATGTTACCATAGTAACATTGTACTACTTTGGGGAAGTGATCAGTATTTTTTTTTTTTACACAATTTGCTTATAGCAAAGAATTACTTTGCTATAAGCAAGCATTTACCTGAATGACATCGATTCATTCAGGTTTTTTTTTTTTTTTTTTTTGTGCTTAGCTGTGATTTGGCCACAGCTAATCACATGACATGCTGTGACCATTCACAGCTAGGCAGTAGTATACAATGGATGGCATGAATGAAGCCATCCATTGTATACAACTGTCATGTGACCTGCTGTGATTGGTCACATGGTACCAGCAACGGGGGCCGGTACTCAGATCTGTCATCGGCCGTGTCCGAGGTAAACGGCCGGTGACAGATGGCGCTGCTGCGCGGCTCTGCAACAGTGCGAACTGCGCATGTGCGGGAGGACGCCAAATGGCGTATACCCCGGAAAGCTGCAGCATTTTTGCGGCCGCCAAACGGCTATAGGCGGGGCGGCTAATTGATAGGATCCTAGGGGGTATTTTTCTAACTGATTTCTCAACAAAATAAAGCATGGAGACATGGGTGGATGGGTGAGTTTACTTTGAATATTAGAAAAGAATTAAATAGCATTTTCAGTATGTGATGCTGAGATAAAAGTAAGTTCCTCTATAATTACAGAGACAAAAATGGAGCTTCATTCAAGGGTTACACCATGTCTTAGTGCGTGATCCCTGCTAGCACAGAGTCGGAGGAGGCGGTGTAGCGCAGTGAACTGAGTGACCTTGCTTGATCTGGGTTTTATGGAGAAAACTATTTACATTGAAGTCATTTAGCATTTTGATTCCTGGTCAAATGGCTGGTGTACAGTCGTATAGAACGCATAGTCAACACTCGTTTTTCTGAAGGGAAATGGTAGCTAATACCATGCAGTTTTCTGCACTGAAAAAATGCCAAAACACTCACAATTCAGAAATGTCATCTGACAATCATTGACTCTTAAACCTCATTCACATGGGTGACAAGACTTCTTCAACTTGGATGGGACAATAGTTCATGCATTACCAGGTGCTGCAAATAAGCAGCCCATATACAGTAGGTCTATGTGGACTCAGCGACTGCACAGACACAGCGGCTCCTCCTATTTTGACATGTGATGCGGGTGCATTTGAGTGGCCCCAAATGTAGACAGCATGTATTTGGGACCACTTACCCACACACCTGTCAACCTTTCACCTGTGCAGCAGCTTCATTCCCATACACTTTCATAAACTTTTTTTTTAACCACTTGCCGTCCGGCTGCTGTATATAAATGGCCGGACATTGGCAGTGCAGGGCGGGTTGCCGCTCATAAATGGCGCATGCCATTTTGGACTGTGCGTGCTCCCTGGGAGTGCGCAGCACCGCAATCTGGTGCCCGCTGTGTCCTCTGGCCACAGTGGAACACTGATCGTCATACAGGACCTCTGTGTGAGGTCCCGATCATGTGATCACTGATTGGCTAATCAGTGATCGCATGCAGAGTAGTAAGCAAGATGTCACTTCCTGACATCATTGCTTACTACGTGTGAAATCTGTGAATGATCACAGAGGTCACATGGTACAAGGCTATTCACAACAGCCTTGTACAATGTGACATGTGACCAATCACAGCTCACACAGTCGTTCTCAATGGCTGCAAGAATGCAGCCAGAGAGAAGGAGAAAATGATTGCTTTTATAGACTTTATGGGTATGAAAGCAATCAGTGTAAAAAAAAAAAAAAAATCTTCTTCATTACCCCCCCCCCCCCCCCACAAGTATTACAGTGTCACCATGGTGACACTGTACTGCTAGGGTGACAGTATGTAAAAAAAACAAATAATAATATAAAAAAATAAAATAAAAATGTAAAAAAAACATTTTTAAATTATAATTTTTGGTTATAAACTAATTTTGGTTATTTTTTGTTTTACTAAAACGATAACTGAATAAATTTTGGCCAAGATTTATGATGAAATATTATTTATTTGCAAAATTTTATAAGAAAAAACTTCTTTTCAAAATTTTTGGACATTTTCATTTATATAGCAAAAAAAATAAAAATCCCAGTGGTGAATAAATACCACGAAAATAAAGCTTTATCTGTCTAAATAAAATGCTAAAATATTCATATGGGTAAAGTGCTGCATGACCGCACAATTGTCATTCAAAGTGTGATAGCGCTGAAAGCTGAAAATTGGCCTGGACAGGAAGGGGGTAAAAGTGTCCGGACTTGAAGTGGTTAAATATATTGTTCAGATTTTCTTTAATATATAAAAAAGTCATTTTAACATATATTTGTAAAGACATACAGTATATTTGAAATTATTCTTAAAAATATTTTTCAGATATTTTGTAATAAAAAACACATTTCAACATACAGTATATATATATATATATATATATATATATATATAATTTATTGAAATATATTGAATATGTCCAAAATTATAGCATTTCAAATATATGTCAATATATTTGGGAAGAATATACAGTGAGGAACAGAAGTATTTGAACACCCTGCGATTTTGCAAGTTCTCCCACTTAGAAATCATGGAGGGGTCTGAAATTCACATTGTAGGCGCAGTCCCACTCTGAGAGACTGAATTAAAAAAAAAATGCAGGAAATCACATTGTATGATTTTTAAAGAATTGATTTTTTTTCCACTGCTGAACATAAGTATTTGAACACCTGAGAAAATCAGTGTTAATATTTGGTACAGAAGCCTTTGTTTGCAATTACAGAGGTCAAACGTTTCCTGTAGTTCTTGACCAGGTTTGCACACACTGCAACAGGACTTTTGGTCCACTCCTCCACACAGATCTCCTCTAGATCTGTCAAGTTTCGGGGATGTCGCTGAGCAACACGGAGTTTCAGCTCCCTCCAAAGATGTTCTATTGATTTAGGTCTGGAGACTGGTTAGCCACTCCAGAACCTTGATATGCTTCTTACGGAGCCACTCCTTGGTTATCCTGGCTGTGTGCTTCGGGTCGTTGTCATGTTGGAAGACCCAGTCACGACCCATCTTCAATGCTGTTGCTCAAAATCTCACAATAAATGGCCCCATTCATCCTCTCCTTAATACAGTGCAGTTGTCCTGTCCTCTTCGCAGAAAAGCACCCCCAAGGCATGATGTTACCACCCCCATGCTTCACAGTAGGAATGGTGTTCTTGGGATACAACTCAATGTTTTTCCTCCAAACACGACGAGTGAAGTTTAGACCAAAAAGTTCTACTTTGGTCTCATCTGACCACATGACTTTCTCCCATGCCTCTTCTGGATCATCCAGATGGTCATTGGCAAACTTCAGAAGGGCCTGGACATGTGGGGGTTTATTTACTAAAGCTGGAGAGTCCAAAATCAGACTCCCTTCTGCATAGAAACCAATCAGCTTCTAACCTCAGCTTGTTCAATGAAGCTTTGGCAATGAAACCTGGAAGCTGATTGGTTTCTATGCAGAAGGGAGTCTGATTTTGGACTCTCCAGCTTTAGTAAATAAACCCCGTGATGACTTGAGCTGGGGAACCTTCCGTGCAATGCATGATTTGAAACCATAACGGCGTAGTGTTCTACCGACAGTGACCTTTTGAAACTGTGGTCCCAGCTCTCTTCATGTCATTGACCAGCTCCTCCCTTGTAGTTCTGGGCTGATTCCTCACCTTTCTTATCATCAGTGATAGCCCACGAGGTGAGATCTTGCATGGAGCCCCAGTCCGAGGGAGACTGACAGTCATCTTTAGCCTCTTCCATTTTCTAACAGTTGCTCCAACAGTTGATCTATTTTCACCAAGCTGCTTGGCAATTGCCCCGCAGCCCTTTCCAGCCTTGTGGAGGTCCACAGTTTTGTCTCTGTGTCTTTTGACAGCTCTTTGGTCTTGCCCATGGTAGTAGTTGGCGTCTGACTGACTGTGGGGTGAACAGGTGTCTTTAAAGAGCTCAGACAGGTGCTACTAAGTTAGATTAATAAGTGGATTAGAGGTGGACTTTTTAAAGACACAGTAAGAGGTCTTTGAGAGCCAGAATTCTTGCTGTTTCTTAGGTGTTCAAATACTTATGTTCAGCAGTGCAAGACAAATAAATTCTTTAAAAACCATACAATGTGATTTCCTGAATTTGTTTTTTAATTCTGTCTCTCAGAGTGGGAATGCACCTACAATGTGAATTTCAGACCCCTCCATGATTTCTAAGTGGGAGAACTTGCAAAATCGCAGGGTGTTCAAATACTTCTGTTCCTCACTGTATTTCAAATATAATTTTCTTCCATGTGAGTGTGCATGCACTGCCATAAACGTACATACCACTAGGAATACCGCCAGCCCCATCCAGTCACAGCAGCTGTAAGACTCTCATAGAGTTTGACCGGATGCTGAGAGTGGAGCTGGACAGTGCGCTCTTGCCCTCCAGCCACAGCTAAGATGCAGATTTAAGCAGGGGGGCTAAACACTCATGTGTATGACGCCCAAGTCGCACTGGTTTGTTGGAGCTGCCTGCTTACTAATCTGCAGAAAAAGCATCAACTGTGGGAAAGATACCAGTACAATGAGTCATAACATAAAAACATGAACCCTGCAGGAACAGACACCATTATCTTTTACCATCACGTGATGAGAGAGTAACTGCAGGTAGAGTAGAAGACTGGAAGTTCATCATGCGGCAAGCTGTTGCTTTCTTAGATGAATATTTTGGCAATTTATTACAGATCTACTGTGCTGGGAAGCATTAAAGTAAACAAGGATTTCAGCCATTAGCACAAATAGACATTATAGTTTCTGTGTATTTCAGCAGACAGAAGTAAAGATTTCAACGATATGCCATCATCAACCAATTTTACCTATATGACCCTGGGAGCTTACATTCTTGTGGACACATTTCCATGAAGGACATTGCAAAATTGTTTAATCCTACCAGGCCTACTTCAGCGTACAGTATAGTAAGACAATGAAAGAAAGGGCAGCCTGACAACTGAACCCTCCTACATTTTACAACATTTGGCCCATTCTACAAATATGGCTTGGAACCCACGTATATTGTGCCTCTGGCCAGAAAGCTGCAGTCAAGGAGGTTTGCAAGTGATACACACTTAAAGTGTTACTAAACCCACAACAGTAAAATCAGTCTGTATATGCAGTAAAGCATGCTTGTTATACTCACTATGGAACCTAAGGGGTTAATCCTCTGCATTGTGTAAAAATCCTAATTGCTTTGTTCCTCCCCTTGTTTAAGCGACCACCTCTTATCTCCTGATAAGACGGACTGAACCGTAGGCATTTTGCACATGCTCGGTTTGGTATGTATTGCTAGAGAGGTTTTTTTTTTTCTTCCTTGGGAGAGAGTGCATGTGATCAGCACAGGGCCAATCAGCCCTGCCCAGACAGGTTGGGTTTTAAATCCTCATAGAGCAGAAAACTCCTGCTACAAGCTTTAGGTAGTGCTTGGCTGAACACTGATAGAAGCCACAAGACTGTTCTAACTACTGATGAGAAAAGGTATTTAGCAGTTTATATTTACTAAAATAATTGCATTTCCATGTTCTGTGTACTGTGGGAGACCAGATATACTGAATGCAGGGTCCTGGGTTTAGTAACACGTTTTGGTATACAGCATTGCATAGGCTTAACCTCCCTGGTGGTATGATTATTTCAGATTTTTGGTGCAGAAAGCGGTACCATTATTTTGCATGGAAATATGTAGTTTTTTTTTTAGTTGTAGGCTGTAATATTTAGGAATAACTCACTGAAATCTGTCTGAACAAGAGTCTATTAAACATCCCGGGTATGATAAAATTTGAAACACAAAATCATAAATTATAATTTAATAAATAATCATAAAAAAATAATAATATAATAATAATACATTTAATTCAATAATATAATCAAACCAAAAACACTGAAATTTGAAATATAGCGCCAAGTTCGCACATCGCTGAGCAAAATCGCAAAATTGTTTTCAGTGTCTGATGACGAATTTCCCCCACAAATCATTATCACTCAATTCTGCAAGTGGTTCTGATTTACTATCGCTGTTCTCTAGCCGGTCTAAAACCGCTTTTGACCTAAAGGGACACTTTTTGGACGCCATGGACTTTTCTACGTTTCCAGGCAGAAAGAACAGACAAAATGCAGACAGGGGACAGGACAGAGCACTAGGGACAATATGTATGTGAAATGGGTTGAAACAGCAATGTTTTACTATGTAAAAATCGTTTTGAAAAAAATTACATTTTTTTTTAAATTTTCAAATTTCCCGCCGCCGCCCGTACGTCCCGACGTCACAGGGACCGGAACACAGGAGCCGGATGCCGGCATCAGCCGGAGGAGATGGCCGGGGACGCTGCAGAGGACGCATCGCGGGAGCGAAGGACAAGGTAAGCTCTGCAGGGACTCCCTATGCAGCGCCGCATGGTAAGCCCGAGTGTAGCTCGGGGTTACCGCTCTTGGTACAGAAACTTTACCCCGAGCTACACTCGGAAATACCACCAGGGAGGTTAAAGCATTAACCTCCCCAGAAAAAAAAAAAAAAATGGCCGTCTGCAGGTTTATCCCATACTTACCAATAGTGTGTCACTGCTCATGTGCTGGTGACGTCACCAGCTATTACCTATGTGGATATCTCCTAAACGATGAACGTTTAGGAGATGTTTTATTGTACGAACAGGTAATCCTGATTCTAAGCTTACCTGTATGTAGGTCTAAGTTAGGACAGGGACTTTACTACCTCTTTAAACACAATTTTATTTTGTGATTATGTTTGCTTTATAAAGATAGATTATAAAGCTGTGTTGTAAAAATTGAAACCCCATCCCTATTAGATATAATTCCTCATCTGTGCCCTGCTGTTTACAACCCATAAATGTGTCTGTGTGTTAACTGACATCAAGACATTTTGTAGGCCTTTCCTGTTCTTCGATGTCACTAGTTTCCTGAACTCCCGTTAAAAAGATTGCTACAGGCGTACCTCTGTTTACTAATTTAATTCGTTTTTTGGGACTTTTCGTATTGCGAAAAACTTGTAAACCGAAACAAGGTTTCCCATAGGAATGCATTGAAAATTAATCCGTTACGGAGATCAGAAAAAATTTTAAAAAAAGAAGTATTTTATCTGTTCAAAAGTCTTTATAAAGTGCACTTTAAAGGCATAAATACTGTACAGGGACATGATTAAAAATGAATTTGTAAAAGCATTGAAAACCAATTAATCCAGTCTGGAGGTCAGGAAAAAAGAAAAAAAAAAGTTTATCGGTTCAAAACTCTTTATAAAGCGCACTTTAAAGTCATAAAGGGACATGAAAAAAAAAATTGTATATGCATTGAAAACCAATTAATCATTTCCGGAGGTCAGAAAAAAGTCAAAAAAAGTTTTATCTCTTCAAAACTCCTTGTAAAGTGCATTTTAAAGGCATAGTACTGCACAGGGACATGATTAAAAAAAAAATTCATAAATGCATTGAAAACCAATTAATCCATTCGTATTGCGAAAAAAATTAGTAAACCGAGGCATTCATTTCAATGGATTTTCATTCGTAAACTGAAAATTACGTTAACCAAGGTGTTCGTAAACCGAGGTGTGCCTGTATTTTTCACTTGTGCCCTTAGATAACTATTGAAATGCCAGACTTTGACTTCTCAAACATAAAATAGGATTTTTTTTTTTTTGTGAGATAGAATATTACTTTAAGTAAGACCTACTTGAAAGCATGTGGACAGCAATGTATCGAAACATCAATGATTGAGGCATGTTTTCTAACCTGCCCAATTACGTGTTCTTGTTGACAGAGAACAGCCATCTTGATTGCGGCCTCTTAAAGAAATGAGATCATCACTTGGAAACAGCGAGATTGGGTGACATTTATCTCTCATGTCCATGGAAAAATAAAGAAATTAGTAAGGCCAAAGTAATGGTTAATGGATATAGAGAAAATTAAGCATGACTTGGACTGGACTGTCATTTTCGTTATCAAGTTTTGAATTATTTGGTTAATAATCATTGCGTATGGCAAGCACTTAATTAAAAAAAGGTACCACATCTTTCCATCTTTACCATCTTGGCAGTGGTTAAATGGTAATCCTACGAGTTTTTGTGGAAATTACATTTTAAAAACTATTTGAGATTCTGACTTACAGGTACAATTTATTGCATAGCTAAGAAGGATGAAGGAAGAGTGAAAGCTTGTGTACAAAGGAAACTGTTTTTTACACTAGCTGTTGCTCAGAGTTAGTTAATGAATTTTCAGGATGATCTACCTCAATAGTTTGAGTAGTATTAAATGCTGCAAAAACAACTTGCGTATTTGAATATCATCCATAAAGGTATTACATATTTACAACATGTGTACTATTTTTTTCAAATACACCTTTTGAAAACGTTTAATCCAACAGAAACCGAAAGGAAAGAGAGGGTACTACGCTCCAAATGTCTGGAGTCACTGGGCCACTCTCAATCAAAAATTGTATTAGAGCCCTGTGACTTCATGAACCTAAAGTGATTCTAAAACCCTTTGTTTTTTTTTATAGAAAAAATAACAAACATGTCAGACTCCTCCTTTTCTCGGTACCCCTGCTGGCGCTCCTTGCTCCTGTCGGGTGCCCCCACAGTAAGCAGCTTGCTATGGGGGCACCCGCTCCTCCGTGTGTCCGTTCACACATGGAGCCGTGGCTTGGCCCCACCCCCTCTTTTCACTGGCTTTGATTGAGCCAATGGCCCCCAGTTCTGTCTCAGCCAGTGAGAAGAGGGAGCCCCAGGATAGCCAAGACTCCAGTGCATATCGCTGGATCAAGAAGGGACTTGGGTGAGTATTGGGGGGAAGCTGCATAGAATGCATGAAGGTAAAAAAAAACCTTGAGCCTTTACAACCACTTTAAAATTATACTCAGATATTAAATCCAGAGAGATATTGCTGTACTTTACAATCAAAAGTAACTTTATATATTACAAAACAAAAAAATGGTTAAAAGCTTATCTTAAAGTAGAAGTATGGGTTTGCGAAAAAAATAAGCATCCATACTCAATTCTGTGTGAAGCTGCAGCTGTTGCATGTCGGCTCTAAGACCAAGAACTGAGTTGATTGTTCGTTTTTCAGTTAACACCAAATGGGAGAACAGTTACTGCTCTTCTCTCTGCTCCTCCAGTTCTCACTGGCATGCCAAGATGTAGAGGGGGTGAACACATCTGTCTCCAGCCTCTCAGGCTTATTAGGCAGCCAGGTGGATCCTCACAATATTGTCGGGATCCTTCCAGTGCCTGGAGCAGCTCTGCTCCGTCAGCTGATAGCAGGTAATAGCCCACTATGAGCTGGCTTTGAGTCTCAGGAGTACAAAAGTAAGTATACTCCTGTGACCCACCCACAAGAGAAGTACAGCCAAGAAAATCACAAGCAAATAATCCATTTTCCACTTGTGGAGTAGTTAATATATACAGTATGTAGATCTACAAATGTATAGCTTTATATAAGACACCCATTCTCAATCTTTCCTTAGATTGCCTATGCTATAGTCATGTTTAAAAAATATAAGATAAAACTGCTGTAAGTCAATCCTGACTATAAACCTCAGGGATTGCAGAGCTAAATAAATTAGCTGAATTTAGAATTGCTGATTTGTATCCAATAGTTTATAAATATTATACAGCCTTAAAGGATACGTTTACCATATTTAGGGTGTAATATGTAACATGTTACAAAAGGACCGACCCTTCTCCTCCCAAAACCCTGAGATCTTCTCAACTTCCCCCCCAACCCCAGTATTCTGTGAATGAGAAAACTACAAGTTCCAACAGCCTTTGTGGCTGTCTTGTAATTCTCAATGAACTACCACGGTGCTGTTGAGTGCTGTGGTAGTTCATTGATTCTTCCTGGCAGTGTGTATCTGCTTGCCCCATCATACAATGTATGAGCACACAGATGCACTGGCAGTTCTGCAGGAGACTTGCATGACACCAGAAATCTGCTGATCGCTGGTGCAATGCTTTGCAGGCTCCCAAAACAAAAATAGTAAATGCACATTTTTTTTACCTAGAAAAAAATGTGCATTTATTAATTTTTGTTAAAAGGTGAATGTTTTCTTTAATATGTGTGTGTATATAATATATATATATATAGTATATACACTGAATAGTCAATGAGCAGCAAGAGAGTTTAGCTGGGACACCATTGTGAATAGGATAAGCCTTATCTGCCATTTGTTTTGTGGATTTGCTGGCATGATCTGTGCAAACTGATATAATATGGTATTCTGCATTTATTAGATACACCTGATAAACTGCAATACCATCCTGTGCATTTGGCTTGGAAAGACTGTTTGACCTTGCATTGAAGGTGATATTCTGAGATTCTTTACAAAATAAGGCTGGATGCAATTGGGATTGCTAAGTACAATGCAAGAAAAGTTGTGTGCGTCGTTTCAAGGGCTCTATAGACTAATACTGCATAAAATGTGGAATTGTGTCATCTAAAAAGTTTTGATATATTTGAGCATCTTTCCAAGCTGGACCCCATGGGATTACTCAGGCGTAGCATGTTAAACATATTTTACTTTATGAGCTCTGGATGTTCACCTTGCTGCTTGCACCTGACAGGCTGTTCATATGGAGATTTCCTATTCAAGGATTTAATTGAGTGCAGTGACTAACTCTTTGAATAGAGTTATAAATTGATGGGCTATATACAAAGTAGATTGATGCAATATTGTTAATGCTGCATTCCATCTAACTGATTGAATAGCACCTACCACAAAAAGATATTTATAAACTTTACTACTGGCAGACTCCCCTCTTTGGAAAGGGGGATTGCCATATGGGAGATTGAAAAGTGGACTTACTGGTTCATGGTGGATCGATGAGCTACTGCTAATGCTGTGTTCCATCTCCTTGATTGAATTACATCTACAACAAACTTTGTACGATAAAGACAGCTACAAACCTTTCTACTGGCAGACCCCCTACATAGAAAAAATGGGGGGTGGCTGCCGTAAAGTGGAATATTTGCATTCTTATTGTTCATTGAACATTTGATGCACAATTATCCTTGGTATTCTACAGTCTATATCAGAGAACTAAACATGCATACAAACACACACTCCCGCGAATACAAAACAACGAATGTGAACCACTGTTAATTTCGACGTCAAATTTCAGTTTAGTTTTATTTGTAATCTTTTGACTAAAATGCCCTTTTATTTATAGTATTTTAGTCATCTGAATTGTTTTAGATTTAGCCATATATTAGTCGACTAAAATCTCTAGTACTCTATCAACAACTTGTATTGGATGAGTGATCCAGGCTCCCTCTGTCTGCCTGCTGCCTGGGAGTTCTGGAAAAATGCCGTGCAAGCCACAAAAGAGGGACTCATCCTTTCAGATTTGTGTCTGTTTGGATGTGATGTAGTGAGTGTTTTCCCTCCCAGCAAGGTAGCAGTACTTAGCACTGTGTAAAATAACAGCCTCCCTAGACCGTCCAGTTCTATGCCCTGTGCACTCTCTCACTCCCATTTACTTCCCCATCCCCACTTGCAAGTTCTCTCCCCATCCCCAAAGTATAATGCACCCTGCCCTGTGCACTCCTTCACT